CAAACCCCATACATGTTTCACATATGTTCATATATGTATTGCACTATATGGTCATATATGCCCCATATATGTTGGACTGGTTAAATATATGACCATTTCATATATGGTCTTATATGAAATTTTCATGTGGGCCATTATGAGATATGGCAATCTCTTCAAGTGCAAGAAGTTGAATTTTTGCTATTTTTTTTGCAAACAGCTCTTTAGATATGGCAATAGTAAAATTTGCCCATGGTAAAAGAATGACTGGAAGAATTCTATCTTTTAAGTCTTTTTTATCTATGTTTTTTTATTATTATTTCCTCATCTACAGTATTGGAGTGAGGGGATAGTATCTCTGTTGTATGGGGAAAGCCTATTCTTATTAGTGAGCAGGGACCTGCATGAAGAGACCCCAACTAGTGTATTTCTGGTTAGGTATGATAACTAAAATTCAGTGAGCGGTCACTAAGCTGGACCTAATATCTTTCATTCAAACTTTCATTCCTGAAAATTCTGGAAATGTGTCAGGTCTAAGGCATTAAAGCAAAAGAAGGAGTGAGTCACCCTGATAGAATCTAGGCCAATGGTGAAATCTGGACATTTCTTCAAAATCATGATTGGGAGTTTTATGAAAGCCATATCTTTACTATTTCCCATGCTTCACTTCTAGTTGTGCAAATTGCACTATTGATGAGGGGTGAATAAGGAAAAATGAAGCAACTATGCCATCTTTTAATTGAGAGGTGAGTGTGTCAGACAACTTGGCTTCTGGAAATTTTGCTGATACAGTTGCTGCAAGCTGCAATAGAACATGGATTTTATGGTTTATATAAAAAAAAAGCCAATATTTAACCCAAATGTAGACGTGGTAATTTTGCTCATTACTTCAATCGGGTACATAATTGTACATGCAGGAACCCTCAAACTTGATGATTCTTGTGCACAGAGCATACATGTTGCCTAGATATGTTTAATGGACTACCAGTGTTGACATAATGATACTCCTAGTAGTCAATTACAATGCTTATTGAATGAATTCACCCCCCTCTTACTATGGGCTCCTATGACTTGCCATGTTTTTCTATGACGCATCTGCAGATACTGTAACTGCTAATAACAACTAATCAAGGTAGATGTCACCCATGTTGCTTTGTCCTGCATTCTAAGCAGTTGGGGAAAGTGTATTAATCCATTTTGAGTTTCCCATTTAAATCTTGCTTAGTCTTCCTACAAAATAACTCGTATTAAGTTAGGAAAGAATCTTTTAGGGAGATGATGACATGCCCCTAACTTCTTTCTCTCATTCATTTCAATCACATCAATGATACCCATTGACTAATGAAGGATTTCACTATCATTATTAAGACTCAGAGGGGGGAAAATACAACTGTGCTCTGAGTACTATGTCCAATAAAAAGCTTTTTCAACTTTTCTTCATCTGCATTCTATCCTCAAATTTCTTGCATTTCTACATTTGATTAATTTTGGATCTTCTGGATTCTAATCCATTTCTTCTTATTTGTTAAAAGTACATCGAACATAGACTACCTGTCATTTGAGGTTTTCCTAGAAGAGAAAGGGTAAGGAAAGCTTCAGTGAAAACCAAGGCTAAGGAGAAGGATTCAGAAAGTTGAGAAATAAAATTTCGATATCACTTATCTTCGGATTTCCAGAATATTGATAAATGTGAATTTCTTTCCAGGCGTGTCTTATCATGGATGATAAAATTGTAAGGTCAAAATAAAAATGCTTCAGAGTTATATATGTGATTGATTTTGTGATTGCATCAATGACAAGGTGACGATATTGTTTTTACTTAGGTGCTCTGACATTCCTCAAGGTTCACTTCACTCGAACTTTGTTTAAGGAATGTTGGTTCCTGCTCGTTCTGATCAGCTGTATTATGTCAAGTTTGCAAAGCTCCTTCAAGGTATCATTCTGGTCTATGGTGGTTGGGTAACTGGCTGGGATTGCAAATGTGGATAGTTTAGCTGCTTATGGGATGAAAAACAGATGTCGCTCTCTTCTCACAGCCAGCAGCACCATTGCCCACTGCAGGGGGGGGGGGGGGGAATTCATTTGATAAGCACTGTAGTGGCAGATTCACAGCATCCCTGAACATTGGTCTTGCCTGCTGATGGAACTGGATGGAAGTGATGGTGGAAAGTTGACATGTTCCACTGTGTAGATTATTTCCTTTTCATCTGGATCAAAGTAGAAGATCTATGCCTTCTGTATGACAGAGCAAGGAAATCTTTAGCATTGGCAAACATTTTCCAAAGTAACTGTTATAATGCTTTGATTGAAACATGTCTTTGGTTTATGCTGAGTTTATTTTGTACCCACCTGACTGCAACTTTATCCCTTGGAGTTCAAGTATTTTGAATGTGCCAGCACTGTCAAGTTTTTCATTAAAGTTTTTTCTATCCTTCATCATGAGGCCAACTTGGGTGTGGATCGCAAAAGGTTAAGAGCCAGAGTATCAGTCAGAGTGTTATGAACTTGTTCAGATGAAATCCCAGCACATTCAGCAAGATGGTGCTGATATCAGACTGTAGTCTTTAGTAATCATGTCATGAATGGCATCCAGTTTTTCCTTTTTGGATGCTGTTGTAGAATCATCTTTGATGCTGCATCATGGTGCATTCATAATTGTCTGTCTGCCTATCCCATTTGAATTCTGCTGCCCATTTGAATTCTGCCTACTTTTTAATTGACGTAGGATGGGGCATGCCTTCCAGATGTTTGCACCCAGCCCTTGTGAATAAGTTTTTGAGATTGGTGTTTGGTCACTTAATTTTCTCCATTTTCAGTACAAAAAAGTACCATGACAAACTTGTTCATTTTAATGTTCACTTTGAAGCCTTACATGATCAAAATTGATGCATTAATTTAATGTAGTCTTCTACAACTACACATTAAAGTACCTCTGCCCAAAGGCCTTCCTGAAGAGGCTAAGTACTTTTCACATGCCCTGTGTATAATGGTCATCGTTCTTTTCATCGCTCTTTCAGTTTTGATTTCTTATGTCTCCTTTATTATATATGGGTGAGAGAACTATATGCTCTTGCAGGCAACTATGTAGCACCATTCATATCAAATTTCATAATTCTTTGACTTTATTTCTTCTTTTAGCATTGAGGTATACACAAGTAGTCCCTGGGAGGCTCATTTTGGCCCATGTGATTACTCTGGAGATACATTACCTGAGTTTATCCTTCACCACTGGAATTCTTTGAAATCCTACATTTAGAGATGGGAGTGGTTTGTGCTTGGGGGTTTCCCTTCCTTAATTGCTGGGGTTTGCACTTGGAAATAAACTGATCCGGTTCACACCCAGATGTTGTTGCCAGAGCCAAGCCAACCAGTGGAACCACCCACCATTCTTGTGATCTTCAATACAAGCAGCCCTTTTCTTGTCATGAAGAAGTAAACCATAAACCATTACAATTTCCTCAGAGATCCCATCTCTGGCCTCTTGTAGAAGTGTGAAAGTTAACATCACTAGTGATTAATGGTTGACTTAAATAAGGTCAATAAGGGTTAGGAAGCTTTAATTTTAAAATTAAAACTCAGCCAAGCTAGCCTAAACTTATTTTTTGAAAAGAGACCATGTATCAAGAATAAATTCAAATAAATGTCTGCTTCTTCATTCCAGAATCATCGAGTGAGGTTATTGGTGCGAAGCCATGCCATGAGAGAAGCAACTTCTCCCCCTCCAGATGCTAGTTTGACTCTTGACTCTGGAAATGGGTCATGGTCAAGCAGCACCATCTGTAATGTTAGCACCAGTAGTAACATCAGTCTTGGAACATCTGGGGGGGGTCAAGGGAAAGCTGGGATGAGAAGGCTTCAGCTTCGTAATCAAGGAAGCTCTGGAAATAGTGCAGATGGCTCATCTTCATCTCTTTCTCGAGGTGAGGAGCTCTCTTGTTAGAGCATGACCTGCTGTATCCCCTTTTTTGTTTTCCTGTTTTCAGGTCTTTGCATGCCTGACAGTAACTCCATGAAAGTTGTTCCCCAAGTTCTCCTTGCTATAATATCTCAATAAAATTGTATTAGTAATGGAATTATATTAGTAATATATTGGTTCTCAAAGTTTATCATTTCTTATTTTACAGTGCCATATCTTTCATAATGAGACCAGTACTCCCCTACAGATTGACTTACCAGATTTTAAAAAATATAATTAAAAAACCCAGCATGTTGCAAATCCTCATTAAAATGGAACTTTTCCTGGAATTTATTGGTGTTGCATATATGCATTTGAGTATCCTTCCTTTGTTACCTCTGGTTTGTATATTCTGGTCCAGAAGAGTGAGTGTCTGCTTTTCATTTTGGATGAGTTTGGGCTTGTCAGAGCATGGGGCCATATACAGGGTAAATCATCTATAAGTGTATTAAACAGGATCAGTTTAGAGAAGATGCTGGAACTGTGTATAGGAGGAGCATGAGGGATGGAAGAAAGTCAGGATCAGTGTGCATTACTGATACTTGTACTGTAATACCTGCTATGACATTAGTTGGTACACTTTAAGATGACTTACCTTGTATAACATTGGTTGTGGTGAAGATGTACAGTTCACCAGTATTCTTAAAATTTAAAATATAAGAGAGTATTACACTTAATAGGCTGATTGACCAAACCTCTCACTGGGTTACCCTTTGATTGCTCATGAATGTGTTAGGAAAATTTGTTTTGCTAATCCACCTGGCCAGTCAACAAAGGGTAAGTTTGACATTGAAGTTTTGTGGGAAAAAAGAAAGTGATCCCCCTGGATATTTTATCTCAGGAAAATGTTATATCATATTATAAGGTTTTATAAATTCATGCTTGAGGCAGTAAGAGTAATCCATGAAATATTTCATTTCTTCTAGATTCGAGTACTGAACAATACACTGATAACACAGGAATCGACTTGGAACAGTTCATCGTTGACACACTACATCGAAACCAAAAGGACAGAGTATGCCTGTTGAAGATTGAGCAGGAGCTCATCAGCCTGGTGAAAGATAGCAGGTGAGGCTTTTTGGGAGTGGATCATGAAGTCAAATTAGATATGGGGATGATGATGCAGAGCATGAACTATAGCAATTGTAAGCTGAAACAAACTTCAGGAACCCTACAGCTGAGGCATTGTCACATTCAGAAACTGCATGGTTGAGGCTTTTGATCATAGCATGGATAGTTATTTCTATGGATTTCACAGCATTCAAATGAGAAAGCCATATGACATTGCTGGCATGCTTCAGCTTGATGTCAAGAACTGCCAAGACAATTTCTGTTGCTTTCAATCCAGTCATTCCTAGGGTGAGTTTTCATAGAATGCATATAGCTATGGAGGGTAGTATTTAAAGGAGGAATGCTACTCTGAAAGTGCCATCACAGCCCAATGAGTGATGCAGTGACTGTATGTAATGCTTTCATAGACAGATGCCTGCCTTCCTTTTCCATATATCAATACTTGGTGTTAGTTAAAAGTAAGTAATATCCTAAATGCAGCAAAATAGAAAGCAGCAATCAGGGGCTAGAATGGAAAATTATATATAATTAGAAAGGCAACTGAATTCACTGCATGTGTGCAAAGTGGCAGACGTCAGGCATGCAGATTGCTGTCAATAGGGATTGCAAACAAAGCTACAAAGAAAGGCTATCCTTCATGCAATACTGAAATGATGTGTCTCAGTAGCTTATTGATGCAAGCATGGAGGTACTGCGGCTGCTTCTGTTTGCTTGCATTCAGGCGGACAACAAGCAAATTCAGTATGGTTTTGAAATGACTGCCACTGGGTGAATTTTCGTAGGATCTGACAAAAGTGTGAGGGTAAACCTTGAATTTAATTCTCTTTTCAGTAATAAGTTTCAGTTGCAACATTTATTCTGCTTTCTTTTCCATTAATTTAGGGTGTTACTTTTTTTATGAGCACCATGTAATATTATTTTAGTTGGCATTGTATTGGCAATTATTGAGGATGCAAACTATGTATATATTGTCCATTCTGCAACCCAACCACTTTAGATTATTCTCCCATTTGCTGAATGAAGGAGGATGGTTATCTCCTTCCATCTCAATCTAATTGGAGTTTCCTGTTTCTTCCTTTGTTTTATCTGCTGGTAGATTCAATTTACAGGGTGATAAATAAAAAAAGTTGACCCACGAAATGTGTTGTTAAAACTTCAACTTTATTAAAAAGTCAATAATACTACTGAATTACATGAATTGATATATGTCAAAACTGTGAGTGTAATTTCATAAATGTAATGTAAAACATTACACAGTTATGCATGATCCAGGATATGCTTTAAATGCTCACCTTGGTGCTTGATGCATACTTGGATGCTTCCCATAAAATTATTGATGACTCACTTGTGTTGAAAAACTGTGGAGGCCCCAGAGACTGCTTCTCTGAACTGTAATTTCCTCGCCTATAAAAAAACTACTGTTATCCATGTGCCACTATGCTCAGCTGTTGAACTAATGACTCTATGTTCTATGTGATGATACTGGAAAATATAGTGACCATTGAATATTATATTTACTTATATCTTATACTTATACACTTTTCAAGACTTGAAAAAAGCATTGCACCATGTCAGTGGTGAATCCACTCATACTGTATAGGGTCATTTGGGGTAAGTGTGACGAAATTCCTTATAGTTTTTGAAGGACTGCTAAAACTGTTGACAGATGTATTTTGATAACATTGTGCACAATATCATTGGACTGTTAGCTTCAACTCATGACATTGTCATTGTCTCTTTGAGAAACTCGTTGAGTCTGCAGTGAAAGTCTGCAGAGTAGCAGATATAAAATTATATGGTATATCACATTTTTTGCTTAATCAGGATGAAAATGGTCGCCTCCATTCGGAAGACTGCCACAACAGTACCCAGCTGCCATTTTAAGACAAAACAATGCTGAGCTACTTTCATGAAGACTTGGCAGTGAGCAAAAGCTTGCAAGTTTAAAAACAGGATCAGTGACTTGAAAACAAGGTAGGTGAAGGCCCAGAACCCAAAGAACTGAAGTGAATGCTGAAGGAGTTGAAATGCACATGTTGAGTCAGGAGGATTAACTTGAAAGTTTGTTTTACCTGAAAATTCATTCATAATTTTTCTGACTTCCCATCCCTTTTAAACTAGCAAGGTCTTAATCACTGTTCATGTGAGTATTTAAGAATAAAGCCATACTCTGTATGGCTTTATTCTTAAAAAAAAGAAATATGTAGGAAAAGGAAGAAACACATCTTAAAACATTGATACAGGAAATAAAATGTGTTCTTGATAACAATAGCTGTTGCTGCTCCAACTCAAATGGCAGCTAGGGACTTTTACAGCAGTTTTCTGAAGGGAGGTGGCCATTTTCATCTTGATGAAGCAAAAAATTTGATATCTTACCATATAATGTTATATCTGCTGTGAAAGAGTTGTTTTATGTGTGCCCAAAGGTTAATTACTCAAATCAAGGTACTGCAGCCTGATTTTGTAGCTAGTTGTAGTCAATAGCTTGGTTTTTTTTAGCCACCCTGTTTAAGAAGTTATATGTAATATTAAATATTGTGATGCCTTATGTGTGATACTATAGTATGAGTCAAATGTCTGGAATCAATAGTATATTTGATTATTATAATTATTATATGCACGTCCTAAGAATTTTTAGAAATTTAGGTTTAATTGTTATAAATTTTTTAGGCTGGTATGTAACACAAAGTGATCCACAAATAGGTACAAGTATATTAACTGACATATACAACCTATATTGAAAGGCCCTTCTTTTGGCATTAAGTAGTGGGTTTTGTGGAGGGAGGAATTATAGCTTATGAGTGTTAAGCAGATCACTATGGTTTTTCACTTTAAAATAATGAACTGTAATTTCTTTTGTGTTTGTGGCATGGACCAGCTGTTGACCTGGGTTGTGCAAATGATGGCTATATTGCACCCTGTTTTCATTTGCAGAAACCACATTGTTTTGTCTCTCAAGAACAGCCCAAATATGTAATTTTAAGGTAGTTATTCTTTTCATCACCTTCAAAATGTTCTGAACTGACTGATTGATTATTTGCTCATGGGACTGCTGGTTGATCAGTAATTTTACTTACAAAGGGAATGCTAATGAAAAGCAGAAAGGCTTTTGTGAAAATTTATAGGTTGTGATTGGGGGGTCTAGTATTAATCAACCACTCTGTTAGAGAGGGTACACTCAGTTCAGTTGTCATGTTCTTTGTTGCTCCAGTCAGAAAAAAGGAGAAACTTTTGAAATTTTTATATTTGTACATGTCTTTTCCACTTTCTACATGGTTCTCTCTCAATTTAGTATGTAATGCTTTTGGGTCTAGATTTTCTAGGCTGGTAAAGACATTTGGGGTGGTAATCAGAGGAAAGAAGGCTTAGAGTATCATTCTTTTGTCTTTTTTCCAGGCGCACACACCTCAAGTTCCCATCAATGTCTTCGTATCAACGAATGCTAGTCCATAGAGTTGCAGCATACTTTGGTCTGGATCATAATGTTGATCAAAGTGGAACATGTGTCATCGTCAACAAAGCCAGAAACACTAGACTACCAGACATGCAGTTCCAGGATCAAATCCATGATGACTTTATACCTGAAGAACCAAGAAGATCCATCCTCAAACGAGACTCATCCTCATTTGAAGATTACTGCTTCAGAGTAAGTGGAAATGGTTGTTGAATTCATAGAAGGAATTCCAATTAGTGCCTGCTTGGGACATGCCAATGCACCAGACTTGGGCTTTGTTTTCCATGCTTCTTGGTCTCCCCAGCTCTGTAGCCATCACAGACCCCAAATTTTTTCATGTAAAATTATTATTGGATATATTGATTGCTGCAAAATCTTAGATGAGCTTTTTTTTTTTCAGTCATTGGAGAGGCAAGGAAGCATGGATTCGAAGAGGAGTAAAAGCTTCGAGGAGAGAGAAGAGGAGTATAAAAAGGCCAAACATCGCATCTTCAATCAAGATGTGAGATAGTAGATAGTGAAAATTTAATTGTCTATTGGTACTCTTTGTCTCACTTGAAGAATATTGATTCACATGGAAGTAGGCACCTTTTCACAATCTTCTTCAATTGGAGATTTGGAAATGAAGGCCACATTTATGTATTACAGGAGTAATTTTCTTGCCTTCATTCATGAAGAAACAGATCTAGCACATCAGTAGGAATTTGTATTTAAAATATTCATCTGAATAATTATTGACCTGATGTCAGTGTTAACTTTTGTCATTAAATCTGTCTGATGGGATAGATATCAGGTGCATATCCAGGGTTCACTTTCAGGGCCTATAATTGCCTACGACTCTGATAGTCTGACACTGAGTCAAAATACCTGGTGGCCCCAAAAAAACGAGTATTGTTTGACACTTTATAAAACCCACTGTGGATGATCTAGGTTCATGATGTTTTCATATAACATTGAAAATGCCACAAAATATTTTCCTGAAAGTTTCATGTGCTTAGGTTGTCTGAATAAAAATCAACAGTAGTTCAAAGTGGAGTCATAAAATGTACCTTTTCTGCACATGAGATGGAGGGAGTTTCAGGACAGATCAAGTGGTTTCTCTCCCTTTATGCCCTAAATGCTGCTTTTTATGCCAGTTCTCATTGTAGTATTCTGCCCTGTATTGATTCTGATGCTACTATATACGACTGTAGCACTATTCTACAACGTGTAGAATACTATGAGAACATGGCATAAATAGCAGTCTTAATGGTGTCAAGGGAGAGAATTCATTCAAGCAATGCTGAAACTCAATGCATGGAAAATGTACAATTTATGACTCCACTTTGAACCACTGTAGATTTTTATTCAGACAACCTAGATACATGAAACTTTCAGAAAACAAATTTTGTGGTGCTTCCAATGTGATAAGAAAACATCACAAACTTAGGCCATCCACAGTGGGTTTTATAGTGTCAAACAAGGAACTTTTTTTTGAGCCACCCAGTATCGGGTGGCCCAAAAAAAAGATAACCAAAATCTATTATTTCAATTATTTGGTTTGTCACAATTTAGAGAAAATACTGCCCATTTAACATAAGAGAAAGAATTTGGTTTAATGAAAGTTATTTTAGTAGTTATGGTGAAACCAGAAAGAGTGAACCAATCATAACAGCTCTTTTGAATGGATTCATGAATTTCACAATGAGTTCAATAAATATCCTCAGCAGAGAAGATCTTTTTGCAGTTGGCTTTGAAGTTCAGGATCACAGGTGTTGTCAATGCAAAAAAAGGACATTATGGCAGACCTTGTTCAGTCCATGTGAATAAAAGTTTAGGAATATGTGTTAAACATCTGAAGTCGTATGGTTGATGATGTTCAAATAATGTAGCTGTGTTTACAGCTGGATGGTGGACATGTTAACTTAACCCTTTCAGTCCTGAATTATGTTCTAGGCATTGAAAAATATGCAATATACTTTTTGGGCTTCAACAAGGCTCATATAAAATGAAAGTGCTTTTAAAATGGTTTCCTTAAGTAAAATAAAGATTTATTAAATTATTTTTTAAATTTGTTAATTAATAAAATTATATTTAATTAGTTCAGATAGTACTCATATCCCTATTTTATGTTGTATTTTTCCCAGCATTCCTGTACTACTTTCTATTGTCAAGCTCGTGAAAACAGAAAAAATTGAGAAAGAAATGTATTAGCTGAAATAAATGCAAAAGGAGATACGAATTTTGAAGTGCTAGAGGAAATATAGTAACTTCAAATTACTATGGATTGCTGTCAACTTGAAAACTTGAGGTGAGCTACAATAAACTGGGACTCAGAATCCTGCCATGGCCTCAAGATTGTGCATTCCTGTGTAACCCTATAATATATGTGAAGAAAGTGTGGGGACTCCTGAGTCCTGCCCAGACTGAAAGGGTTAACAATCTAGAAATATTAAAAGCAATAATCTGAAATACATGAAATATGTACAAGGGGAGGTCAAAAAGTTCTGAGACCAAGGCACTTCCAGTTGCAATACACCATTCTTACTTTTATCATGGGAAGACAGATGTCTTTGATGGTGATTGGTGGAATTTCATCTTATTTATCGATTAAGGATAGCTTCTATGAATTTTAAAAAATATGCTACTAATGGGTCTGCTGAAGGGTATTAAAATTGAGATGAATGCTGTGAGGAATTTTCTAACCTCTAAGGAGGCAACCTACCAGCAGATCTTTCAGGGACTGAAAGTATAGATTCTTATTGATCCTCCTCTAAAAGATCTGCTGGTAGGTCGCTTCCTTAGAGGTTAGAAAATTCCTCACAGCACTCGTCTCAATTTTAATACCCCTTCACCAGACCCATTAGTAGCATATTTAAAAATATTCATAGAAGCTATCCTTAATCAACAGATAAGATGAAATTTCACCAGTCACCATCAAAGACATCTGTCTTCCCATGATAAAAGTAAGAATGGTGTATTGCAACTGGAAGTGCCTTAGTCTCAGAACTTTTTGACCTCCCCTCGTAAGTAAAAAATGGAATAGTCCTTGAAAAAACTGAATTGTTACTTAGATATTTTGGTTGCCTGTTCTTTGTCACCCTGTAATTTGTTGAAGATATGCACAAACCTGTGCCATGACAGACTGGTGTTTGATAACATCCCTAATGTGACGTGGGTACCATCCTTGAAAAAGACATCTTCACAATCCTGAATTTTTCTCCTGGGGAAAAGATGGTGGTGCTACTCAGCAGGTGCAATCCATGATGATACTACTTCCACTTCCAATGATTTGTCAAGAACCTCAATGCACAGTTGAAAGCTCTTCATGATGATACAATTTGAAGGTTAGGTTCCCTCAATTTTTTGACAGTTTGATTCCCTGAAGAAGAGCATTTTGGGCAAAGTAAAAGGGAAAGGCTCTTTCGCTTTTCCTTACAGTGCTCATTCTGTAGTCTTTGATCAAATTTTCGAGACTGATAACTCATTTTTGAAGGAGAAGTAAACATCAACAAATGTCAGATTTAAATTTAGGATTTTCTCAATCTGATCTTTAGAATGGAATGCTGGCCTGTACTGCACCAACCAAAGAGATTTCAGGCTTCCCCCAGACTAGTATGTTATTCTAATGCTCAATCATGGAGGGTTCATGGGGTTTGTCCACCCAAACCCTTGTTATGTCAGGTATGACAGACAGTAATAGGAAGTAAATTAGAACAGATAGCAAATGCCTCTTATGATTATCTTTCCCCTACATAATCTCTTGATTCATCCCTAATCTTATTGCTAGATTGTTGCAGCATCTTGAGGTCATGAGAACTAATCCAACTGTTTGCTTGGAATTGAATCAATTCCAATGCATCCCTTTTTCATATGGATTTAGGGCTATACTCATGCATTCATTGGCTATCTTGCAATTTATCTATCAATATAGTGTTTTTATTGCCTTTTGCCTGTTTCAATGCTGCTATAATAATATGAATGATCTCCCCCCCAAATAACAAGGAATATATGTGGACAAAAATTGACCTGACACCTTGGTGCTGCCATCTCTTGTAAGGTTTTTTTGATGCCTTTTCCAAGAAAAAAAATTGCTCATATTCTGCATGAATCAGTATCTCTGCAAGCTGTGACCTGTACAGGGTACCCCAGAATTGACTGAATATAGGTTTTTGACCAAACCTATGGCCTAGAAGGGCATCGTCTTTTTAAGCCTCATGCATTAGGCTAATGGAGCAGAGGCCTAGGTTAGAGTGGCCTAGATACAATACCTCCTATGTTCAGTCAATTCTGGGATACCCTGTATGTTCCATAATTAGCAAAGGTACCTGTATCAGTTGATGAATTTTGAATCATAATTCGGCAATGGGTTCATCAGCTGAATCTTGCTATTGGTATACTCCTATGTAAAATGGGATGTGGTATTAACTGTAATATTTGAAAAATAAAATCCAGTAAAAATTCTGTTACACTCAATTTTGTTATGTCTTGAATTTGAATAATTGTCAAATTATGACTGCTAAACTCTGTCAAGAACAGTAAAAGGGGAGGTGAGTGCAGGGCAACATACCCCCAAAGTCAGGTCTATGCCACTGATGTTACATATTCTTCATGTGAGACAAACAGTAGCTAAGAGGACTAAGAGGAGTCAGAACCCATTGGTAATTGACATGTCAGTTGTATCGGTTTCCCTTTTTAGTAGGCCTCCATTCTGAGGAAGAATTGTCTTGTCATTTAGGTTGTGTGAATGAGTTCAGGTTACCATTATGCCTATAAAAAAAAGGTAGATGTGGATACTGTAACATATACCATATTAGGGCTTTTTCACTGATGTCACAAGATGACGTTTAACAGAGGGGCAGAGCACACATCTGCCATGCTGGAGTACAGGGGAGTGGGGGCTTCGATTGATAAGCCTATGTTACGGGTGTAGCCTCATCAAGTCTGCATCATGATTACCAGTTTTTCCGCTTATTTTGAGACCCTGCAAGGCACAGCATAAGTTCGCTATCCGGAGAAGATGAAGATGTGTGAAGACTGTGATCCTTACCCGCTGAAGTCCTGTGATGGTTGGGTTGATGATCCCAAGTTCTGTTCTAAAATGCGATGCATTCCATTTTTCGCAGTAGCTCCTGCTAGTCATGGCGGAATTCTTAAAGCAATGCCCTTGGCTGCAATGTCATCATGTCGTATCATTTCAAAGGAAAGTCATATCATTAAAGGGTTGTTTAGAAAAGAAGGCGTATGAAGGAAGAGACTCCACAGAACTGAGTCCATGATTTGATGGGAAATTCAAACTACAGTATTCACTTCTCTTTCCCGTACTTACACTTAGAGCATCACACACCATCAAATTCAGGTCTTACCTTCTCACTTGAGGCCTAAATAGACGACCTGATCTAAAATCCTCTGATGAGGACACCTGTTTTGGGCTACCTTCCTAATCATGGATTTAGGTCTGGGCCTGTACAGATACCACACAACCAATTGGTGAAACAACATACATCATCATTTCTGCAGGTCTGTCACTCTCAAAGACTCAGGGAACCACCTTTGCAAGTGTGGGTACTTGCTCAGACCTGAATAGACCCAAGAAATTCATCATAGTTGAGCAAAATGTCACCATCTTTCTTGCCAAACATAGTCTGCCTGTACTCCAGCATGGTGCTGAGGCGGTGTCTCCCGAACTGTGACGTCACATGAAAAAGCTCTATTTGTTATGCTGCCTTATCAGGAAAGGAAAAACCCATCTGGAGTCCCATGTATGGCCATGCAGAGCTCTTTATGATTTGAGTTCTGGAAAATCAGATTGTGATGTCTGGTTTTATTAATTCATGATTTATGATTGGTTTGTATGATGTGTTTTTATTCATAATTTCAATGCATAGGCAACTTCCTCATGAGAACATACAGGATGACCCATTTGAAAAGTTTACAGATGAATGGTCATGTACAGCACAAAACAATGAACAGAAGCCAAAACTTGACAAGTAAACTACTGGCAGCATGGGCTTCTAAGAATGTGAGAAACCAGCATCAGAAACATCTTCCAAAATCCTATGGCCTCTTTTCTTTGGCATGTTGACCACAGATCCAGTCTTTTCAAAGTTTGCCACAAAATTTCCCAAGACTGTTAATGGGTATGAACCTTGGTGCATGTTGTGGCTTCATTGGTATGACCTCAAGGTGACTTGCATTTCTTCAATTTGCATAAAACTTCTGTATTAGTTTGATTCTCATGGCAAGCACTAACATGTTGACTTTCCATAGTCTATGGGTCTCACACAGGCCTTTTATATTGTGTGCAGAGCACATGATGTGAATTGTGCACTGGTGGTGCCATCTGCTGCTCCTCTTGTCTTCCTGGATTTGAGAAGCCCATGCTGCCAGTAGTTTACATGCCAAGTTTCAACTTCCTCCATCCATTGGCTTATGTTGTACATGGCCATTCACTGGTAAACTTTTGAAGTGGGTCACCCAGTATATTCAATTCAATGAGTGGGAAAAGGTAACTTGTCATACAATTTGATTTTTAATGGGTTAATCAACATGGGACTGAAAACTTCAGGCTCACAGCTAGAATGCATTAGCCCCTTTGATAGTTTCTGAAAGGGTGACACTGAGGGTGTCTCATTATGTATTAAGTGTTTCACTCTACCCATCCAGAAACCATCAAGGGTTTTCTAATGTTAGAAACTGGCTTCTTCCCTCTTGTAGTTGATTTGCCATGTATATTATGAACTTTGCATTTTTTTTTTTAATATATAGACGTGCAGGATTTTGACCTATTTTCTTTCCTCTGGGTGGTGGATGATTGTGGTGATGAATGGTGCAGAGCACTTTGCATGATTAGAAAGATCTAAGAGTCATAGAACCCCTGACTTCATGGTTTTGCTCTTTGTTTCCATATGCAGTCTTCATCATCAGCTGAACTCCTGGATTCACCAATGCATTCTGGTGACATTACACTGGAGAGTTCACAAAAAAGTAGCCAAGAGGATCTCCGATGGTGCTGGGGATCTTCAACTGAATCTGCTGATGCTTTCCATCTCCTAATTCATAGGAAAGACCGGGATCGCTCATCCAGGTTTCTTTCTCTGTTGATCCTTATGCCTCAGAAGTTTATTTTTCTGTGTTATCCATATGACATTGTTTATATGCATGAATATGCATCATATATGCATAGATTTTCTTTTAGGGGAGTAGTATTGTGCAGAATTTTCAACATTTAATTCACATTATAGAGAAGTACAACATGCATCAGATTGAAGCTTATATCCTACTGATCAGTTTTCAGCCTATTCTCAATTCCAAGCATATGGGGCCAAGATGGCAGTCAAATTTGAAATGGCTTCTCTGTCCTGAAAATTGAAGTAGTGACTAACCCATTGTCACATGAAGGTGTTTGTGGTATCTAATAGGAGTATTTCAGGTCAAGAAATCTACTTTTGATAGGTAAACCTTGTTTAAACCTTTTACTATAAATAGCACTGTTAATTTTGGAAATGGCCACCATTCCTAGCCTCCAAAATGACTTTGAAGACAAGTTTTCTAGTCACACGAATGTGAGTTTGATGTCTAAATGTTCATTGTGTCAAAGGATTCAGTTCTGATATTCTGAGTATCTTTAATTGCACTAACCTGCATTATAACATACAGTTAACTGAATCACGTAACTATGAAGGAGAGATCATATGATGGTGAGAGTGGTCTCTTATTGTCATAGTCTGTAGGCTTACACAAAGAATATAACATGTTAATTGATTTATGGAATTTCTACTAAAGAAGTAGCATAGGGAAAAAACTAGCTAACTAAAAAAGTTAATTAGTTATTTCCTGATGCTACTTCTTTAGTGCTCTCCCATGGATTGGACTATGCAAGTCTCTTGGACCTCATGGTATTTATTGCCCTTGAACAAACATTCCTCCCTACAGTTCATAACATTGCTGAACAACTGGAGTTACTGTTGCAAAGAGGACATGGCTAACAGAAAATATACACCATTATCCACTGCTTCCATCAAAACGATGTTTCCCTCCAAATGCAATGAGTGCCTCTTATCACACTTGCATTTGGATGCCTGCAAAAATTGCTTATCCCAACATTCATACCCCCAGAAAGATGAATATTGTACAGAGAGGTTGAGAAGCAGGAGTTCTTCGAAAGAAAGGCTGCCACAGAAACTTCAGGCAACCTACTGTGTTTGTATCATGATAGTGAGCCTTGCACTGTTGATTGCAAGTGTGTCAGGAATCTTATGACATGTAAGAAGGCATGGTTGTACCATTTTGCTGAAGAGTGTGACAACAAGATTATTCATGAAGTAGAAGATGTTGGTGAAAGCCAACTGGAAAAGGGAATTAAGGACAAATGTTTGGTTTGCTTAGATAATTGTGCACATGTTAGGTGCTAAAATAGAAAAATAATTGATTGAAACTAACTAGTTTTAATTTGCTGACACATAATTTTTTTTTATCATTTACCAATATAACAAGTATATATGCATGACCATGTCTAGAAAGTGATCAAGGGTTCAGTGTGTGAATTTTGAAAATCATAAGCTAATAGAAGCATCCATTTTGCAAATGGCCTATTCTGTATTGGTGCAATTGAATATCCTTTTAAGATAAGAGCTGAACTCATTCACACAAGTAACCCTCATTCAGACATTAAACTTGTCTTGGTGTGACTGGAATTTTGTCACTGAAGTCATTTTGGAGGTTGGGAGTGGCAGCCATTCAAAAAATGACCACTTTTACTTATTTTCAAAAGTTTAAACAGGGTTAAGCTTCAGAGTAGATTTCTAGACCTGAAATACCCCTATTTAGACACCACACACACCATCATGTGACAATGGGTTACTCACTATTCTAATTTTCAAAATAGAGAAGAAATTTCCAAATTTGACCATCATCTTGACCCCACACACTTGGAATTGAGGACAACAGGCCAAAAAGGGGCAGAAATTATCGTTTTATCTTTCAAGGCAGAAACTATTGGATCACCCCTTGTATTTAGGGCATGCTTCTTTTGAAATAGGCATGCAAGAAAAGGCAAACAAACATCAGGACAGCTCAAACTAGAATCCAGGGTGTCTGACTTGATAGTCAGGTGCCTATTCCTATTCATATGTATTCATTTGCCACCTTCTGTGCTGATCTTGCTTGTTTTACTTCCACTCTGACTACAGGGCACTTTGGCATCATCCTTTTTAGCACATATTGTAGAAGTGGCATCTTCTCTTCTGACCCTGATATACTGGCAGCAATATATGGAGCTCCATCTCTTACATACCAATACCGCTGGCCAAGATAGCTGGGAGTATCCAAATTTCCTAGATACTTTTCAAGTTTTTCAATATGTTGAGAAATAATGAGAAGTAGGCCTCTGGCAGGCAGGATGCTATCAGCTTGTATGAAGTGAGTAAACTTAATCCTTTTGTGGGTGGTGAAAGTATACCTTTTGTGGGTGGTGAAAGTATACTTCCCAGAAAACTTTTGACCCTCTTCATGCTCTGGTAAGGCTGCACATATAAAAATTTGCCCACAAAGAAGTGTTAAAGAAATCTTTTAATTTTTATTTTATTGCAATTTTTCATGTTTATAAGGTAGACCTATACTCATGTCATTGAGATCCCTTAAACTTTCAGTAGACCTTTTCATTTTGCACCTGGAGATCCTTAGAATCTCAGAATCTCTAGAGAAAATGGCTTGTGTATCCCTGCATGTACTTCTTTTTGAGGTCTGGTGAATATTTTACACAAATGGGATGAGAGAGAAATGAAAAGGGTAATGCAAACTTTATGGTGACAGGTCAAATGCTTTGGGGAAAGTGCAATCTTTTGAGAGTGGAGAGGTGTCTGCCCTCCGTCCAGTGATATCCAAGTCCAACAGTTTTGGAGGTTACCCACATCCAGGTCAAGGGAATGGGAAAGGGAATCTTCTTCGTGGAGATTCCATCACATCCACACACAGTGCTGGGCCTCGACTTCTCACCAAACAAGGTCAGGATTATGCTGACCTGTTTGATTCTGGCTGTTTGCTTCCCATGTGTACATGGCTTTCCCCATACCTTTCTCCAGATTCCATGTATGGTGGGATAGTAGGTGGAGGTGGAGGAGGAGGTGTCAGTCCAGCCAGCTCAGGTTACAAGAGCATGGGATTATCAGTAGAAGAGGGCCCATCACCCATCAATCCTTCCTCCCCTCATCAGAATACCTTCTCTATCTCTATTTCTCATGTGAGAACAGGAAAATTTGCTCTTTCATGTATATGTTTTGCCTTCAAGATCCCTTCAGGTTCAGTGCTTCTTGTAAATATTGTGATGCTGGTCTTATTCCCATTAGCATTCTCTAGTAAATATTTTTCATGTAAGTCCCATTATATGGAATGGTAATTCAAGGTGTTTCTGAAGAAAATACTCTGACCCTTTATTGTTCTGAATAGTCAATGGTGGCACTATAGAACCCATATTGGGATGCAATGACTTATATTTGCAGAATCCTTCTAGTCAAGGTGCTAGTCCCCAAGAAGGAGGAGTTGGAAGAAGAGGAGTAGAAGATCAAGAGAAGGGGGATGAAGGGAAGGCAGAGGACTGCAATGGAGGGAATGGTCTTCTTGGACCAGCTCCATCCATTGTCCTTCCATCCAACCAGCCAGTGCTTTGGGCTGTGACGAGCATAGATTCTGTTCCCCCTGGTTCCATTCTTATCAATCCCCAGGTAATATGCATCTTCCTCAATCCTTGTGCCAGCTATGTTTAGATGAGACAAACAACCACATCCTCTGCTCTATGCCTCTCAACAGACTGGTCAGCCACTTATCAATCCAGATGGGAGTTTCTATCGTTTTGACCCAGGGAACCCTCCCCAATATGCATCATCCAGTTCTGCTGGCATTAGTAACCTGGGAATATTTGGAACAGCAGAAGGGGAATCCAGGAGTTCTGTCTATGGGATCCCATTTGGACAACAACCACAACAGCCCCAAGGGGCTCTTGTCCACATGAACCTGAATGCTCATGGAATGGGGATACCTATACCTTATCAACCTCCTCCACCTACTCAGATAATCATCCCTACTAGTCAACAGCTGCCCTCTTTCATGATTGCTCCCAATGGCATGCAGGTAATAGCAGATTGACGTTGGCTCCTTGATCTCACATCTGAGTTTCCCAAGATGGTTGAGAGAGAGATGTCCCTACTATGACAGGTTGCAGGCAGTGGTGGGAATTCAAGCCAGCAGCAAGTACCTGTGTTATACTCCCATTATGTGACCACACCAACATCCTTCCAAGTACCAGTGAGACTTCCCTTAGTTGATTTCAGTGTGTACTTCCAGCTCTTACACTACAGAAGTTCAAAGGAGAATGCCTTATCTTTTGTATTAAATAGGGAAATGGTGGAGGAGGAGAACTAGTATCTCAATTCAATGCTCTTAGCCTTATGGGAAAAGGGGGAGATGGAGGAGGAGGGAATGAAGCACAAGCTCATATCAAATTCCAAATTCCACTTCCCACAACTCCTGCCTTTAATCCACAAGTTAGTTCAGTCTGAAAGTGTGCTTCAGACTCCTCGGAGCTGATGGAGTTTAGGTGAATACTACCCATTTAATATGATGTTGGTCTACTTGATATGATTATATAGAGTCCAGGCTCTGTATACATGATGGGAGGAGGAAAACAGCAGCAACAGCAAATCCTCTCTCGAGTTGGTAGTAGTGGTGGTTGTGGAGGAGGAGGGGGGCTGTATGCCTTCCCCTCCCATTCTACTGAGCCTCAGGCAAACTTTCGAATGGGTCAGTTCCCCTTTCCTTTCTCTAGGCAGAGGGATGAATTAATGGAGAGAAATCATACTTCTCCTTTCAAATGCTCTATTGCATTTCTCCTAATCTATTTTTTTTAAGAGGCTCTGTTCTGACATCTGGGGTAGCTACACGAATAGATGTGGTCCAACTACCAGTTGTCTAGTTACCTGATTAGTCTTTTGGTTGGCAAAATGGTTTGTGATAGTGTTGAAGTTATTGTTAGAATTTCAGGATAATTTAAAGATCAGGATTGAGCTTTTTTGTAACTGGATGACTGAATCCTTGAAGTCAGAGACCCTGACCCTGCACCAAACTTAAAGAGGCCAGTGATCCAGATTGGGCTTCATATTCGTTCACTCTAGGGTAGACCTTTATGAGCATCTGTTGTGTATTCAGAAGAATCTTAAAATTGATATAATTAATGCTTGGTAAGGTCTTTCTGATGCATGTATATAAACATACATATATACATGTTCAAAATTGTTTATTACAACTAATGGGACCACAGTGTTCAAGCAGGCCCAGGAGGATCTTCCAGTGTTCATGATCCTGGGCAATGGATACAAGTTCAGCAGGTAGTATACTGAGTCTCTTGTGGCAAAGGTTTGCAGTGTAATCTAATCACCTTGCATGAGGCCTGCCGACTGGTCTTCTGCCTGCCATTTTAGATTGGAAGACACTCTTTAGGGCTTGGCATTTCCCACACACCTCTCGGGAGGCATGCAGGTGATGTGTTGGAACTGATGGACCTGGGATCTCTTGATCTGAAGAAGTAGCTGCATAACCTGGAAGTTCTCATGGATCCTCACACTCTGCATCCTCTCATGTCACATTACACCAACCACTTGCCACAATACCTCATTTTGGCAGCCATAATTTGATTCTTTTGGTTATTACTAGGGCTGTACTGATGGCCACCTTCGGCCAGTGGGCCGATGGCCAATTTTCATCTCATAACCATCAGCCAGTATCTGTGCTGATTGTTGTCTGAATATTGAGAAGTAACATGAAAAGGCATATTAATTCATATAGGCCTATTTGGAAACCATGTGATACTTCACAGGGACCCCCTAGAAATGATAGAGGCCATATTTAGTACTGTCTGTGTCTGTCAGAGGTTAGCTTGTTACCTATTGCTGCTGTTAAGAGCCTTTAAGAACACATCTCTAACAAATGCATAACATAAAAGAAGGAACTATGTTTTCCCATTCTTTGCCACTATTTTCCTCCACAATTACTTAGGATTATACTTTAGCCCTATTCTATATTTTTTTTGGTTCACATGTTCGCTCTAACTTGTAAGTTTTGTCTGTAAGTTTAGACATTGGCATTGGCAGCTTGCAAGCAGGCTGATGGCCAATGGTGCCAATAGTGCAAAACTGGCAGCCAATACTGGTGTTAGCTGATGCATCAGTACAGCTCTAGTTATTACCCACAGTTTGTGGCAATAGGTGAGGGTGGGACAGTAATCATTCTCAAGAACCAAGGTTTTGCCTCCTTTGAAATTTCATATTTGGCAACCACAGTCCTTGCTAGAGTTCCTGCTAGGCTGTAGAAATCCTGGAGACATAGCTGTCAATCTCGTTTCCATATTGCCTGCCACTCAAAAACTAGACCCAGAGACACTTAGACTTCTCCACCTGCTCCAGTGGGGCCTCCCTAGCATGTAATGCACACTGTGCAGGACTTCTTGAGAGGACCATAACCTGGGTTTTGGTGGTGCTTAATTTAATTAATTTAATAAAACAAGCACTGCAAAAAAGGTCAATGAATTTCCTTCATGCCATAATTAATTTTAAAATACCTCATTCTGGATTGTGGTGGGTCTCGAACTTTTTTGGGCATCGGCAAGTGGGTTGCGGTTCAAAGAAGTCTGGGAACCACTGATCTAGAGCAAGGGTACCCAACCATTTTGCCCAACTCGACTGCGTTACCACCAAGGGACCTCCTGTAGGTCACTTGGCCAATTTTTTTTTAAATATTAATATTGCTGGCTTGGACTCCTCCAGTGATGATTCTTTTACTGGAAGGTTTTTCAAATTTCCAGAAGTGCCATGGGCTGGATGAACTATCACTGCTGGCTGTAGGTTGGGTACCCCTGTTCTAAATTGATGGAATTGGTGCCTTTTCTCTTCAGTGCTAGGCTGACTATATCTAAACAAAACTTCTAGTGTAACAGAATCTACCAGATTTAACCAACCAGAGGATGTACACAATTGATGTAGTGGAATTACTTTTTCCTCTTGTATTCCCTGAGGATGGATCTGGCTTCTCTGAAGATGGTGTGTCTGATCTCAAGAAAGGTGATGATGGTGGCGTCTCTGTCTCTTCTTTACTTAGCTGAACTATTCCATGCTCCTATGGCTCTGGTTCCTGGTGTAATTCCTAGCTGGAGATGTCAAAAGTTCTCTGCATTTGAGAGGTTTTTATTCTGAGATGGATTTAATACTACTTTTTTTTTTTTAAGTTTCACCTATGGTTTCTAAGTCAATGACATCTTTGAACAATCCTGCAATGTTGAATAACTGCTTGCTGATACATCTGCCATAGACCACGATAATAATATTTTAAAAAAACATTTGAGTCTAATTTGTTGCCTTTGCAAAGGTGGACATGATCAGGAAGGTCAACAAAGACATATCTTGTTGATGACTAACTAATGAAGAGTAACTCCTGCTAGATCAATGCTTATAGTTTTGCAAAGGCATCCACCAACACTGTGATAGTTGTAAAGACTTTGAGATTTGATTCACAGGCTGTATCCAGATGACCATCCACCTCCAGCTAACAAGTAAAGATCCAGCCATAAATGTCACCATTCCAATCATGATCATCAACCTCTCATTTGAAATACATAAGGTGCATAGTCTCCCAGAGTGTTGTTCTCAATTTAGGGATTGATTGCAACATCCTTTCCTCCAAACAGTTTTGATGAAATTATAAATTAATAAATTAAAAAGAAACTACAATGGCAACATTGTTGTAGCAAAGGGATCCATAGTGAGAAAGGAAGTAGTTGATTATCTCACTCCACATATATTGATAGATTAGATGAACACCACATGATATACTTTTGTGCCACAGTGCTGGAAATTGCCATGAGTGATTACAATGAGTCAGGTGTGTGACATTGGGTATAATTTGAAGCTGATGACTTTGGAGAATTTGTTTTCTTATATGTGGCTTCATTTTTTAAAAGTAATTATGTTATCCTTTATCTACATTCTAGCTGCAGCTGTGCAATATGTGGGAAACCCATACCAAATGATGCATTACCCAACAAACTCTGAGAGTTACTCAGGAGCTGTGCTACCTCAAGCATCGTCAAATCGTGCAATGGCTTCAACACATGCCACCCTCTCAGCATGTACCATCCCAAGCATTTCACCTGGGTATGGTTCAATCTTCATTATCTTCCCTTTGCATTCCAGTATCACATGCATTCTGTCAGATGACCATGGTTTTTTGTAGGCTTTCATCAAATGTGATAACAAATGGGATGGGATCCACAAGTTATGCACCATTTCCTGGAGGAGCAGGGGGTTATGCCTTGGGGGGAGGAAATTTCAGTGGACAGTCTGGGAGTTCGCTTACTACTCCTCCTCAAACACCCAATGGGTTTCAATCCCAGGTATGTGTAAGACAATGGTTTGCAGCCCTTCACATCTTCAATTTGCTTCAGAATGATAATTTAGCCTTATATTACTAGAGGAAGACATTGACTGGACCAGCAATAATTATAGAGAGGCAATGTGAAACACCTAGCAATTTGGTGCTGAAACACCGTTCTTTTCCTTTATTGGTATTTGCAATTTTTAGTCTTTGCTTTCCCCATGTGTCTTCAATGAGAAAATAATCAATCTTCTGGTGTGTAGTTTGGCCCTACAAGCCTTATGAGCTGAGAACCTTTCCAGTGCTTTCCAGAGCAGAGTGCTCCCACGAAAAGATCTACCCTTAACCCATTGACGCTGGGAACTGTAATATTACGTTTTTAAACCCATAGTGTTCTGCAGTTGCTGGGCGTGAATGGGTTAAGATGGATAGCCCTAGTATATTTTGAAATGGATGCTTGACCTCGACCTGGGATGATATAATGAGCAAAGATTTTTCCTGATATCCCTGTTTGAATCTTGAATCTTATCAATTATCCTAGAGTTTGTACCTTTGACATGACTTGGTCACTTGCTAGACAGTGCCCAAGAATTGGAAAAGAAGCCCGCACATCTGATATGACTTCTCCCATTGAGGCTAGAACAATGGATCTCATATGCATGATATTCATCTCATATTCATGTCTAGAACTAGACCTGCCAGGTCTAGAACATACTCCATGTCCTACTTTCATGTCACAAGCTGTCAGGTGGAAGATGAGCTATTTTCTTTGACCAAGATATTCACGTTCAGTAAAGCTATGAAAGCTAAAAAAAAAGTCATAACATTTGGGGGGGCTGAGCCCCTGAGCCCCTTATGAATTACCACCTATGACCCCTTTCAGTAAAAGCCTGTATATTGTTGTAGGCACTGTCTTGCAGCATTTTGAAGATATCCACCACTGATGAAGCATATTCCATGAAGGTGGTCCTTCAACTGATCAAACTGATGATATATTGCCCTCCAAAAGTCTTGCAACCCTTTTTGTGATCAAAATTCTCAGCACCTACAGCATCATCTTCAAAAAATGTTATATCCTCAGACAGCTTAATTTGTTACCTTTGCAAAATGCACACTCATGTCATGATATATGCCATCATTTGCCCAAAATATCTTTCAGAACCTGTTTGGTTTGGCTTTTCAGTGTGGAAAAATTAAAACCTGTCCCCAACTGATTGTTGGAAAGCCTACTTCAATCCTTCCACACCATGTGAGAATCATGTTTTCTCTATGCACATTAAGGAAAAGACTCCTGTCTGTGTCCTCCAAAACTCTTGCAAATATTTTCATGATACAGAATCTTGGTACCTCAGTATCAAGAGAGAAAAAACAAAAGTTATTTGGATAACTTATTCTCTTAGCTGTGCAAAGTGGCCATTACCATCAGGGTCTGAGAAAATTTTCATGGAAGCAATCAGGTTCAGAATTTCAGCCTGGAACAATGACAGAAACATCACTCCATCCCCATATCTATTCCTGGCAAGCCATAGGAATAAACATGGTGTCTTAGAACACTGGAGCATTGTTCCCCTTCATTTCAGACAGCAAGCTGACTGGTCATTCCAGGCCATTTCTCACCATCTTGGCATCAATTCCTCAGTTGCGGGTAGGACTGTCAGTCGTTCCCTACAAACTGACTGACTAGTAGCTGGGAGTAGGTACAGAGATTTTGCATCATGAAAAAACTGGCAAGAAAAAATATGCTTCTTGCAAGGCACACAGAAGTGAAGTAGGTTTTCCAACAATCAGTTGGGGATGGATTTTAATTATTCCACACTGAAAAACTGAACTAGATGGATTCTGAGGCAAATTTTGGACAAAACAATGGGACATATGACTTGAGTGTGCACTTTGCAAAGGTAACAATTAACCTATTTGAGGATATACAAATTTTTGCAGATGATGCTGTAGTTGCTGAGAATTTAGATGGATTTGGATATAATAGATGGGATATATGGCATAGCTATAAGTACACTCAGCAGACGTTGAAACGTGACCTCCTACCTAATATTGCCTTGTTCAAAATCCATCAAATCACACCAAATCACAGCCTTTTTCCATGCTGTTCACATGTAACACTTTATGCTAGCTGTACCCACTATCACACATCAAATGGAGACTGTGTTCACCCTGACTCGCTTTTATTCCAATGGCACAGTCCACTTTCTACCATTAGGGAGGGGGGTGGTCATATTTCATTGTCCATTGAGTGTTTAAGTTTGATTGTGTTAACCCTCTTAGTGTCAAGCTTGGGACTGAATTATTGGCCTATGGCATTGAAAGGGTTAAGTTGCATTGGATTCAGTGTCAGATTAGTGGTATGAAAGTGAAAAACCATGATTGGACCTTCTGAATTACTCTGCATGCAATTCTTGCATTTATCCATCTCTATTGGTATTGGGGATTCATAATATGCAATAAGAGATCCAATTACTTTCTGGAATGGAAAGAGATATATAATTAGCATTGGGAAGCAGAGAGACTTGTAACACATTTTGACCTGAAAATTAATGCAACTGGAAGTGAAGTAATCTATCTTGCAACCCAATAAGTTTTTTCCTTTACCTGACAGACCAAAAATAAATGGGCTCCAAAATATTTTATTTCCTAATTTCTGTTTATATTCTAGTTACTATTTGTTCTTTGTCTCCCATGAATCTAAGCTGCCCCATTTAACAATATTCCATTGAAAAATATCTATTTTAAAACTGCATTAAGAAGAGCTCTTCCCTTGCACCATGTTTCAATGGCATATGTAGTTTGTCCAATAAATACACGAACTGAGGTCATAAAAACTTTATTTGACAAAATTTAGGGTACATCAATCTTATCCCATTCAAAATACTCCCCATTTGTAGCAATACACTTGTTCCATCTCCGTTTCCATTGTTCAAAACATCCCTGGAAGTCCTCAGAAGTCAGGCTCTTCAGCTGCCTCGTCGTTTTACGTTTAATCGTCTCCACATCGTCTCAGTGCCGCCCCCGCATGACCTTTTTGCATTTCGGGAAAAAAAACGATTTCGGGACGATTTTCCAAAATTCAGTTCATCAGCAATCATCCGTACAGTAAATCGGCGATCGGAAAGCACAAGAGACCGCACACGTTCGATGTTTTCATCAACACTGGAGGTCGACGGTCGTCCTGGCCTTGCATCATCCTTGCAGTCTTCACGGCCCTCACTGAAACGCTTGATCCACTTGAAAAGAGCTGTTTTCTTTAGTGCATTATCTCCATAAACAGCCCTCAACATTTCATGAATTTCCTGAGAGTTTTTCCCAAGTTTCACCAAAAATTTGATGTTGAGTCGTTGTTCCATCTGTTCATCAATCTCCATCGTCGACAAGAGCAAAAAAAGGGCGCCACAAAAAAAATTCCACCTCTAGCTGTACGCTTGCCTCGACAGTCTGACGGTTACTGACGCTTCAGTGGGTCCCTTGCCAACAGAGCAGCCAGGATGCATGTCGAAACATCACCTCAAGGCCACCCTAGTAGCTAAGTTCGTGTGTTTATTGGACAGACTACGTATATAGGTTCCTTTCAAGGGGGGGGAAGCTCTTTAGCTTAATGGTCTTTTATATCTCTCTCAAGTGAGGTTTGTGAAGTCTGGCCCTAGTTTCTGAGACGTTATGATTTTTCTAACATTTCAAGATTTGGTGATTTAGAGACTTATAACTCCTTGCCTGCACCAGAGATGGAAAATTCTATTCTCAATTCAGCATTGTTACTAATGATAGAATATGTTGATCATAGCAGGGCCTGCAATAGGGTAAGACAGTGTTTCCCAAACGGTGTGCCACAGCACAGTGGTGTGCTGCCAGTAAGGCTTTAAGTGTGCTGCAAGATTTGAGATTTGGAAAAAAAAAAACTAAAAAATTCTAACTAAATAAACTTAAAAATAAGAGAGAATGCCATCTCAGTGGAAAACAAGCTGAGAGTTACACTACCATGCCACGTATCAAACTGCTGTGTTCAGCGAAGCAAGCACAAGTTTCCCATCAAAAGGAAGTAAATGGATGGGTGTGCCATGGAAAGTTCTAGTGTCATAATGTGTACCAAATGTTTAAAAAAAAGATTGGGAACCACTGGAGTAAGACACACACACCTTAAAGCCCCCTTTTGGAGATTTTATACTCCGAAGCCATGCATTACTGTTGTGACTGGGACTAATTGGATGGACATGCTTCTGATGAGAATTACAAACTCTATTCATCAATTGAAACTTTCCAATTGAAAAGTACTTATATCTTTCTAGGCAATGGGGGAGCTAGACTTTGGTGAGGAGCAAATTGAACCATTGGCACCCAAGACCCTGGGTCCCATGACAATGGATGACTTTGATTGAGTCGTTGTTCCATCTGTTCATCAATCTCCATCGTCGACAAGAGCAAAAAAAGGGCGCCACAAAAAAAATTCCGCCTCTAGCTGTACGCTTGCCTCGACGGTCTGACGGTTACTGACGCTTCAGTGGGTCCCTTGCCAACAGAGCAGCCAGGGCGCATGTCGAAACATAACCTCAAGGCCAGCCCTAGTAGCTAAGTTCGCGTATTTATTGGACAGACTACGTAGCTATCTTTTTTTCTTGTGATTGGGTAACATGAGCTGTGATAGATTTGTTGTTTCTTATCATAGCTCTGATTGGAAAGAAAAATGATTGAAAATGAAGATCAGATCAGTGCCACAACTCAGTAAGTGCAAACAACCTAGGATGCTTGAATTTTACCATGACTTCTACAGCAAAAATTCTTTGGTTTGGGAATGTACAGCATTCTCAATGTTGACATGGGGAAACCATAGCTCGTAGATTTTATACTACCTGAAGAGATTTTTCTCCTTGCTTTTTATGACCTTGCTTGATGTTGGAACAATTATGATTGCCTTACAGCCACAAGTGGCAGGATATTCTTTGGAGCAAGGGAGTGGATCCCACCTCTTGTCAACTTCATCCTCAGCCCCCACAGTAGAAGGAGGAGGAAGACATGGAGGGATCTCTATTCCAATCCCCGTTCATGTCCCCCTGGATCTTCCCCTTGCATCTCTCTCACCAACCCCAAGCCTCTTTCCTCTCAGCTGGATCAATGGAGGAGGGTTGAAGCATCTTGGTGGCAGTAATGGAGGATCCTCCCATCCCTGCTTCTTCCGTCATCACACAATCCCAACTCCCAGGTGGCCACCCACAGGTAGGGGTGCTGGGAATCCCAAGTCCCAATCTGGAAATAGGCGTTCATTCTCTCATCACCAGCGTTTCTCTCGTCCTTCATCCACCAAGTCCCCCTCTGCCAACCCCTCCTCTTCCACTTCCACATCTTCATCCACTGTCTCCACCTCCACTACAACTCCATCAGCTACTTTAGAGGAGACGGGGCATGCCTCCTCAGAAGTAGTTGCTGTCCCATGTGTCAATGAAGGTAACTTTTGTTTCTTGATTACTCTTGGAGCTTGAAGTAGACCATGACTTAATAGAATTTATTTTGAAATGTTAGAGTTAAAAAATGTCATTGCCATGAACATGTAAAAAAAATCAGGAAGTCTAAGACTAATTATTTATAGCAATACTTTTTGAAATGATGAAAATGGCAACTGCATATACTAATTGCTAGCTTGTGGACACTTCAGTACAAAAATAATAATTTAGGTATTGTAAAGGTGTTACAGGCAGAACAAGCTCTGGAATTTAAGCCGTATGCTTTCTTTTATGGACTGGTGGTGTTAGATGCATCTTGGCACTGCAATGCAATTGGAATAGTGAGACAATTGAAAGATCTTCTTGACTTAGACTTTAATCTGGGTATTGGGATGTCTGATGGGAAGTTCTTTTGACTTCATGGCTGTGTTGTATTGTAAAAAAAATTTTTTTAAGCTTCAATATTGGTGTACATCAAGATGACATGCTAGTCACAGATGAAGGCAATCAGTTGGATTTGCTGAGTGGTATGTCTCATTGAATGCATACAGCACCTGTTATCTGCAAAGAACTCGTTTGTAACATTGATGACATATGAAGAATTCATCTTTTGCTCAGGCATTTTTCAATGCTGAACTGCTTCTTATTGAACAATAGGGTTTTTAAGCTGATCCACAAGTGTTATTATCTTTATTAAGGAACACCTTTGACCTTGAATCCCATCAGATACCCTTGGTCAGACATAATTATTCACATATTCTTTTGGCTTCCCTAAACGGCTTGTCAGATGACAAGCTGTTCAGCAAACTGGAACTGTAGCATATCATCTGGAACTGCCATCTTGTCTGAAATGATGAATTGCAGATCCTGGGACATGACAGTTGTGAGGAAGTAATCCTAGAAAACCAAATATCACTACTGATGTTAATTATCCAGCATTTGGATCTGGTGAAGAGTGAAAATGATCCCTCTCCCTGTATTGCATAGAAAAGTGTTGAAATGCATCCTCCATTCCTGAAGCATCATGAAACATGTAGCTACATTTTACTAATGAGTGACAAGTAACTGAAGATAAACTTGGAAAATTGCTGGCCAAAATTGCATCCACAATTTTGGCCACTAGTATGCATCCACATGGTTCTGGTGTGAAACAAGGAATGCTGTCATTGATCTCATTCTTACCATTGAATTAGAAAAAAAAAACCTTTAATAAGGATTGAAGATGCATCATACCACAGGAAGTATGGCATGCTTTATCTATGTTTCTGTATCCTTCAGGGACCCGGGTGCTTGTGGTTGAAGGCATACACAATGGGTTGACACATTCGCAAGTGGACAAGGTTTTGAAGCCTGAATTGAACCAAGGAGATGGTTGTGCAAAGGTGGAATACATGCCAGTGGATCAAATGGATGGAATGGAGAAGATGGAAAAATGGTGACACAGACAGAAAGATTTCACATCTAAATCTCCTCCCATGAAATTCTCACTTTCCAAAGCCTTCTCTATGAGGATGGGGACATTTCGACTCCAATCCAAGTGATTCACTATCCCAATCCTACAAAAGAAAACCTTATCAGTGATTATTATTATTATGATTATTATTATTATTGTGGGAGATGCAGACTGCCTGGTTCAGTTGAATGCTTGTGCTGTTGTGTGAATGACTGAGAAATGAGAAAACAAGAGAGAGGGAGAGGGAGAGAGAGAAAAAAAAAATTTAAGAGGACAAGATTTATTTTAGCTGAATTGTTTCTGCTTCGTATGAGGATCTCTGTCCCTTTCCCATGTTCCTTGGAAAGGGAAAGGGGTCCTGGGGTTCAAACTCCCTTTTCTCTGTCTCTTGGTCTCTGGGCATGGATTCCAGTTAGACAGCCAGATACTGTAATAAAATTGCAAGGGAGGAACAGTTCCACATTCTTGATTTCTACAAGATGGAAGAGCAGGCTGAAAGTTGATATTTAAACAGTATTCTGACAGATTTGCTTCCCTCTAGATGCTTTTCATCTTTTAGGAATTTCTTTAATTGGCTTCTGGATTTTCTTCTTTGAGAGTTTTAAAATCCTAATGTCAAGAAAACTAGAAGTTGTCTGTTTTGGGTTGGCAAGAGGGTAAAAGCAGAACAAACTCCAACTGTGTTAGTTGAAGCTTGTCAATTGTGATCATTGCCAAAGTGAATGAAAAAAGTTTAATATTAGGGCTCTTACCACACCTGCTCTCCAATGAGATCATGGACTTGTAACAGATCTAGCTTTTGTCTGGATAGCTGTGGGTCATGACAAAAATTTACTTTGAGGAAAGAGTCATGGAATGGGGATTTCTCCTTTGCATCCAACATGTAATTTATCAGTCTGTTGTTTGCAGGACCTATTTCTCCTCCATGTAGATTTCATTTGAGAAATCTATGTGGGCTTCTAACACAAGCTATTTCTCCCCCTTCCCCCCCTACCCATGAGCATATATGACTGGAATGGCCATCTGCATTTTGGATATTTGCCAATTTGAACTCCTAACCCTTCAGATTGGTGAGGTTCAATATCTGAGCATGAAATAAAAGCATTTCCTTATCATTGTATTTTTTGGCATATATTGAAATTAAATATGCAGCCCATAAATTTATAGAATGACTCTGCTACTGAAGGAAATAGACTTTTGGTTGATTACTCCCCATTTTTCCTGTAATTCTTTAATATGGCTTTAATTCCAAATAAGTAATGTTTTACATTGGGGCAGTTTTAAAGTTACTAGCTAAGCACCAGGCTCAAAATGAAATCATGTATGACTCTATATCTTGAAGATGGTTTGGTCCAGGAATTCAACATCAACAGTGTCTTATAAAGCATAGATACCTGTATCTATTCCAGTCAAAATTTTCTCATTTCTCCCATGGAAGAAAAAAAGGGAAGGTCATTCATGTCATGTTACTGACGTAACAGTTTAGACAACAGTTTTCATTCTGCTGCGTCCTTTCCAATTTTGTCTGATTTGGCTTGACTTGAAGATTCCATATTTTCAGAAAAGAAGGCATAGACCATCCCATTTCTTGATGCCAAATGACATTTTATGTTGCTGAATAATGAATTGGCTAGGAGAGTTTTTCATCTGGTGTAACATAGTCAAAAAGTGAGATTCACCAAGCAAGTGTTAAAGTTATTCAAATTAAATTGTGCAGCAGTCATGAAAAACCATCGCACTTCAGGTGATCAATGTTTAATGGAGTGTATTTGGTCTAAGTTTAATATCCATACAGTGCAGGAAACGTAAGCTGGATGATAATATTGTAAATCAATTTTTTTATCACCCTTTTGTCCCAATAACTCTGGAACTGCCCAGTGACAACTTTCTCAAATTGTAAGCAATTGCTTATAATTGGTGTAATTATTGCTGTAGTTGAAACTCTGGCTGCTACAATATGTACAGGGTGACCAGAAAGTCCTGTCCACTTTTGTTCCATAATTTTAACTAAATAAATAAAAAAAGCCCTAGTGATCTTTTAATACAGTTTTGCTTCCTGACATTATTGTCTTTGTGTGAAAATTTTCATTTCTATAGCGTCACTCTTTTGTATTTTTTGATGGATAAGAAAACGCATTCTGCCATCATCCATTTGCACAAGGCAAAAATGAGTGCAAACAATATCGCACAGACACTTGGTGTGTACAGAAGAACTGTGATCCAGGCCATTAACCCTTACAAGGAATTGGGGCATGAAGGAGACTGTCCAAGAAGTGGAAGGCTGCGAACCGCCAACACTCCTGAAAACCAGATGAAGCTAAAATGCATAATTCAGTCAAAACCAAGGCAGACTATGCGGGAATTGGCCTGCAACACCGGTTTGAATCAAGAATCAGCTTGAATTTGGTGTAAGGAGGCTCTTGGATATCACCCATACAGGCTGTGAAAGTGACATCACTTAATGGAGGCCATGATGAAGAATTGACTGGCAAAAGTGAAGAAGCTGAAGCGGTTGACCAGTGTTCTTCAACATCGTTATGTCATCTTCACAGACGGGAAGATCTTCACCCTAAAACAGAAGTTTGAGGTCCAAAGTGACCGGATTCTGTTGCCAAGAACTCGGAGTGTCCAGAAGCAGCTTTTGTCACACAGCAGAAGTTTCCAGCTTCTGTGATGGTATGGGGTTGAATCACCGCAAGTGGAAAGATGCCACTCGTCTTCGTTGAGAAAGGGGCCAAAATCTACTGGGAATGCATCCTTTGGGATGTGCTGAAGCCATGGGTGGACTCTCATTTCGAAGAAGCCCAGTGGACACTTCAGCAGGACTGGGTGCCATCACAAAGAGCGAAGTCCATGGAAGCACTTTGCAGACAGTTGTTTCCTGCGTTTTGGGATAAAGGTGTTTACCCCTCCAATTTGCCTGATCTAAATCCACTGGATTATGCAGTCAAGGTTATAATGGAGAAGAAGGTCTCTGCAACACGACAGGGCAAATCTGGACTCGTTGAAAGCATCTATTCTGGAAGTGTGGAATGAGATCACCGAAAAACAGCTGTATGAAGTTGTCAATGACTTCCCGCGCTGTCTGAAGGCTTGTATAGATGCAAGAGGTGGTCATTTTGAATATGGGTAATTTTGTTGTGTTGCTAAGACTATTGTGCTCCTTCCGTTGCTGACTTGTTGTTCAGAGGCTAATATTAAAAGAGCTGCAGCAAAAATCCTGATGGACAGGGCTTTCTGGTCACCCTGTAGATTTGTGATCTCTCTTGGCCTGCTTATATCCTTGCTTGAAATGGTGGCATTGTGAAATCTCTGCATTTTCTTTTCAAGGAAAATTTTATTCATTCTGTTGTCTGCCAGATTACTGCAGTTGTGTGGAGATGAGGGCCTAGCTTGAGGGGTTACTTGCTTGAGGTTACCTGAGCACCTATATCCAAGCATCTGAAAGTGTCTATCCAGGCACTTTCAGATGCCTGGATTGGAGATGTAATGAATTCTATCCAGAGTTCACTGCATCTTCACACATAATACCAGCCGAGGACCATTCATTAGGAAAAAATTGACTAGCAATTAGTAAATAGAGAGGAGGGGATGGTGTAGGAAAAATTTTTTTTTTTAAAGTCAAATTGTGATGCACCAATACTTCTTGCCCAAGACTCTCATATTGGCATGGGAAATCCAGACAATGGCAATGTCTGTGACCAGTTATGTTCCCTTTGTCCATGGCTTGAGAAGACTCCTGAAATTATTTGAACCTTGTGTAAATGGAGGAAAGAAAGTGAAATTGATTTTGGTGAGGGGACAGAACTTACCTACCTACAGTATGAGTCAAATGTCTGGAATCAATAGTATATTTGATTATTATAATTATTTGCTTATTCTTCAAAATTTGATTTATTTTTGTTTGCAGTGTCATGGAAGTGACAAAGGACGAGTGGTTACACTGGTTGGAACTCTGAATCATAAGAAATAGTGGCCATATAGAGCACCTTCAATATTCCCCATTGATTCCAGATACTTCACTTGTACTGTATTGAGATTGTGGGCGCGGCCGCCGAATGGGATTACGTGTTCTCCGTGTACGTAAAAGGGCCCTATTATATATGTACTGACTCCAATTAGATGAGTACCGGTGAGATTCGGAAGGATTAGGCTGGTCAGCAACAATAACAATGGATATATTGGATGTATACCACTCACTCGTATAGTCTACAGGCACCAGGCAGG